ATCTTTCAGGGTTTATATTTATTTCACAGCTTGTTTTGTAATGGAACACCCATATTTAATTGTGAATGTCAGACAAATTATATGTTGGTGACTTTCTCACATTTGCAAGATTCAGTCACTTACCTCTGCTGATTTATTCCCTCACGTTTTGTTTTTATTTGAGAAAATCTGTTCATAAACGTTAATTTTAAGGATTTACACAGGATAACAGTAACAGTTTCTAATCTGTTCCTAATCTCAATGTGTCTTAATATCAGAGAGTTTTGGTATTTTGATTTACCGATGCAGTCACACCAGGTCTTGTGGCATGGGCACAGACCAGACCAACTGTTCAGGTGATACATACCCATTGAGGCATACCCATTTGGTTGTCTGTCTGCCAGCCAATGTCACTGACATTATTATTGATGGGCAGAGAATTTGCTTGACGTCTTTAGTGTCTAAACATCCAGTGCAATTCTACACTTTTTGTTTTGCTGTTTTATAGCTCATCTCATGCTTTTGTTCATATTTTGCCATGAGGCTGAGAGAAAATGTTGAAGTTTTAAAGCTAATTTACTGAAATTCTACACATTTTGCTATCTTGGGGTCTCCAGAACTCCAGTGGGCCCCAACGGGGTCAGGGACCCCTGGAGGTTGGGGACCCTGGGGCCCGTGCCCATGCGAACACCTTGCTGGCAAGATGCATACAGTTCCAATACGAAGTTGTTAAGGCATAATATGAACCTCCACTTATGAGCAAGCAGTCCACATGATCACATTCTCTGGTCTTCCCAGTTCCAGTATTTCTGTCCAAGACCTGTTATGTTACCTTGAACATGTGTGTGGATGTACTATAATACATGATGTTACGTGATGTCCTGTACTGGTGTTGCCTTTTAGATTGAGAGTAGAGGAGAAATTGAATGAGGCATATGCTGAGTGGTTGCGTCAGAGCAGTGAAATTGAGAGAGTTAGAGATTGATGGCTGTAGCTTGTCAGTAAACTCTGCTGGGTCAAGTGTCATTATGGAAGAACCCAGGACATTTGGGCAGGACTTATGTTGTATTTCATCAACATCTTTAGTGTTGGTCATTTTGTAATATGCTGAATGATGTTGTGTAAATGAAACACTAGACCCGTGTCACCATTCAGAAGGTTTATTTTTGTTTTGTTATGTTTCTACTAAGGCTAATGTTAGCCAAACAGCTGGCCCATGGCTTTCTTGTAATACTGGTACTGAATAGTACTGTATCATCTCTATCAGCTCCCGTATCACTATTGTAATGAGTTCCTGAGTGTAATTCCAATCATAAGAGGGCCCTGCTGTCTGGGGGGAGGGTTATCATTAACTGATGTCAGCAATCATTTTTTGAAGGGGTAGAAAATAGTTCGTTCAGACAGCTGCTCTCTAGGAGGCATTGGCTGGCTGGCTTGATAAGGGTGACAGTGGGTGCAGCGGTTGGAGAATGCACAGGGCCTAACGTAAACACAACACAGGAACATTCCCAGACTGTCTACAACTCCTATGCGGCCGTTGTCATAGTCGGTTGTGTTTAGGTCGAGTCATAATATATACAAAGGCCCTGCATAGTCAACATGGTTACAAAATGTATATGTTGAATTGTTGTGGATTGAAAAAAGGTAATATCACATGTCTCTGTACTCTAGCTAGCTAGGTATGTTACATTTAAAGGTTTTTGTATAAAAAAAATTTAAAAATTAGCCTGCAGCCAACCTGCTATCTTTTCATTAGCTCTCCCCCTCTGAGATAACCCACACATATTTTTGTTTGTTTCCTTCTACCTGGACTGTCCCTATGTGATTGGGACATTATGATAACTCCACAGAGGGAGAGGGTAAGTATGGAGAGAGACAGGGAAGTGGTATAGGAACACAGGAGTATCTCAAATGCATGGATCGCATTGGGATAGGTTGGCATAGTCCCCTTGATCACTGTGTTCCAATGCAGTGATTTCCCTGTAGGGAACACACCACAATGTGGTGGAATACAATGGACATGCAGACAAGAGGGTGCAATCTATTTATTTGTTTAGTGTTCACTTTACAATGTAGAACAATGGTCATTTTCTGGGTCGTCTTACTTATAGTAAAAGCAACTACAGTAGAGAAACATGTTATTCTTCATCCAAGGATAAGGTGAGAGTGAACACGTAAAGGAATAAATTAATAAAAGGTAGCCTGTCTCATTGAGTCACTGTAGACCTACATGAGAGTGCATGACAGTTGAAGTGACAATTGAACGAAATTACTACAGTAAGTGATTTCATGCTTGTTTGCATTGATGAATGTTTAACCTCAATACACATCCATCGATGCTCTAGTTGATTTTATGTCTGTCAGTCATGGTGCGATTCATTGTTAGTATTTTATCAACGCATTCATGAACTAACTCAATTGACTATCATTATGTTTAAGTCATCTCTAAATGGGAAAAGGGTTTTCTATTGTTTGATCAAATCAAACAGACCAGGGAGGGGTGGCTCATTCATTTTAATGTGTAATACCTTGGTAAGATCATCTAACTCATTAATTTAATTCCTAACATGACTTGTCTTTGTTTCTTTTGTTCCATTTTGGGTAATCCTCTGCTCCTGCTGCGGAATGCACGATCAGGTCAAAGTAAGTATAAAGGGTTAGAAGAAGATACCAAACGTACAGAAATCTGACCCTGCATATCATAAGTATTTACCCCCTTGGATTTTTTCACATTCTGTTGCATTACGAAGTGGGATTGAAATGGATATAATTGTGATCTACACAAAAAAACCTCAATATCAAAGTGAAAATACAATTCTATACATTTTTACAAATTAATAATAACAATTTTTTAATTTTTTGGTTTTATAAGTATTCACCCCTTTTGTTATGGCAAGCCTAAATACGTTCAGGAGTCATAATTTGCTTAAGAAATCATGTAATAAGTTGCATGGACTCTGTATGCAATATTAGGGGTTAACATGATTTTTGAATTACCACCCAATCTCTGCACCCCACACATACAAGGTCCCTCAGTCGAGTAGTGTATTTCAAGCACAGATTCAACCACAAAGACCAGGGGGCATTTCCAGTGCCTCGCAAAGAAAGGCGCCGATTGGTAGCTGGGTAAAAAAAAAAGCAGACACTGAATATACATTTGAGCATGGTAAAGTTATTAATTAGGCTTTAGATGGTATATAAATACAACCAGTCACTATAAAGATACAGGCGTCCTTCCTAACTGAGTTGCCAGCAGAAGAAGGAAACTGCTCAAGGATTTCACCATGAGGCCAATGGTGATTTTAAAACAGTAACAGAGTTTAATGGCTGTGATGAGAGAACTGAGGATGGTTCAATAACATTATAGTTACTCCACAATACTAACCTAAATGACAGAGTGAAAATAAGGAATCCTGCACAGAATAAAAAATATTCAAAAACATGCATCATGTTTGCAACAAGGCACTAAACAAGTAATACTGCAAAAAAGGTGTTATGTTTGTGGCAAATCCAATGCAACACATCACTGACTACTACTTTACATATTTTCAAGCATGGTGGTGGCTGCAACATGTTATGAGTATGCTTGTCATTGGCAAGGACTAGGGAGTTTTTCAGGATAAAAATAAACAGAATGGAGCTAACCACAGGTAAAATCCTAGAGGAAAACCTGGTTCCATCTGCTTTCCACCAGACACTGAGAGACATTAATTCACCTTTCAGCAGGACAAGAACCTAAAACGCAAGGCCAAATATACACTGGAGTTGCTTACCAAGATGACATTGAATGTTCCTAAGTGGCCTAGTAACAGTTTTGACTTAAATCTGCTTGAAAATCTATGGCAAGACTTGAAAATGACTGTCTAGCAATGATCAACAACCAACTTGACAGTGCTTGAAGAATTTTGAAAAGAATAATGGGCAAATATTGTACAATCCAGGTGTGGAAAGCTCTAAGAGACTTACCCCAAAAGACTCGCAGCTGTGATTGCTGCCAAAGGTGTTTCTAACATGTATTGACTCAGGGGGGTGAATACTCATCTAATCAAGATATTTTAGTGTTTAATTGTTCATTAATTTATTATTTTTTGTTAAATTTTTCTTCCACTGTTACATTGCAGAGTTTTGTGTAGATGATCGACAAAAAAGGACAGCATTCATTTTAATACCACTTTGAAACGCAATAATATGTGAAATAAATCCAAGGCGGTGAATGATATGCACTGTATGTCCCACCGTAGAAACTTGTGACTGTCAACATTAATTCAATCACTTATTTGTAATAGAATAAAGCAGTGTATGCTAGACAAAAAACATGAATCAATGAATTGATCAGTCCGATGGCGCTTGAGGTTTCTGGGCCTTGTGTCCAGAGACATTATGACTCCAGGAACAAGATAGGCCAAGAGGTGCTGCAGTTGTACAGTATCACAGCCTCCTTGTCTAGTTTGGCCCGAGAAGGCTGTCATGTTTGTACTATAGATATTTGATGTAAGTGCGGAGCAAGTTGTTGAGTGTTTATCTGAGTCGTCTTGCGCTAATCTTTGTGCTGGATTACTGTAGCTCTGTGTGCATGGAACCTTGTGTTCACAGCCCAGGCTAGTGGTGAGAGCTGTGAGTTGATGTTGGACCAAGTTCTGCTTGGTCTTATACACACAAAGCATGCGCTGCTGGAGAGTCTGTTTTCAACTGTTGCAGTAAGGTATGTCTAATGTTTCCCTTTGTGATAGTACCTTGTTGTTTACAAGATAATTTCAACCAATAATGTCAATCCTGATGAATCTGACCATCCTAGCTTGCTTTATCACACCTGTTGTATCTATGCTGCTGATAGCTTGTTCCATGTTCAGTGCTTGTTCCGGGTCAACGCTCCATGATGTCCATTTCATTGCATAATTTCCTGTTTAGTGCACTTTAATAGCTTTTGGCATAAGAAAAGTGAAAATTTTCAACTTAGTAACTACCTTTGAAAAAGCAGGGTGGGTAACACCTATGTGTTTCTGCCAGAGACCGATGAGCACATGCTTGCCTTTGCGGAGAAAGTCTTTGCATCTGAGACCAAAGGTGAGGGCGTCCGCGATGAGATCTCCATGTTTGAAGTGCAAGATGACTGTCCCATCCTTCAACAGGAAATGGCCCACCATCTGCACACCGATGAAGATACTGACAAACGGTGGGTAGTAGTTCCTAGATCTTTTTTTTCTTAATGTGAACTGTCCACCAATGGTAGCATCCTTTGCCTTACCACTAAATCCACTGTTTGTCTGTCCCTCCTCCCCCTCTTCCTCTGCAGTAAGAAGAGACAGCAGAAGTGTCGCATCATGACTTTACCTTCGTCCATGAGCAACCAGGCCAGGAAGGTGCTGGCCCCTGTGGCGGAGGTGTTGTTGGACACCCCAACCTACCTAGAAGTGCCTGACTTCCAGAGAGTGGCCATCATTGGAGACTACGCCTCTGGGGTATTATATCTTAGCTATGTAGCCTACGTTTCTCTCTTATCCAGGTTAGTCTTATGGAGATCAAATTAAGAGAGACCTGGTCCAAGATGTCAGCGGGGTCCAACAGGATGGACTTCGCTCATAAACTCATAAATAACACATTATGTATGTCTCCACTTCCCTCTCTCCTCCTCAAATAGCAGCAGAATTAATTGAAGTCTCATTGACCATGTTTACATGTTGTGGAGCAGTGTCCTTATTGACAGGGGTTAAACTAAGCTGGATGTTGGAGGAGTAGCATGGCTGCCCATGCCCCTGGGTGTGAACTTGACCGTTATGGCTAGTATGTGTCTCTGGGTCTGGGCATTGACCTCCTGTAGGGAAGCCTCTTCACAGGAATAGATCCCTCTGGACTGGAAACTAGGAGCCCAGCAAAGGTTGTCTGGGTTTAAGTTTCAAGAATGTGGCTCTGACATTTACAGAGAGAAATCATAAGGAGGAGGTGGAGCTTGCTTATCAAACTGCTTGTAGCTCACTTTCCCAACTTAAGCACAACTACATAACCCACTTATCAATATTACATAATAATTTGGTCCGTTGTGAACGACTGACGACTTGCTGACAATTATCAATTTGTGTTAGATCAGTGATTACTTCAAGGAATGGAGGGATGGAAGGATGCATTGGAACAGGGCCCTTATTACATAATTCCCCTCTCTACTCTTAGGTGACCATGGATGACTTTGAGCTGTCCTGTAAGGGTGTGTACCGTGCTCTGACCATCAGAGAGAAGTACATGAGGCTGGCCTACCAGCGCTTCCCCCTCACCACATCCCAGTATCTGAGGGAAATTGAGGGAGAGCCCTTTAAGCCTGAACACACAGTGCAACCAGGTATGCAGACTAGGCTGACAAGTGTGAACATAATAGAGAGGGAATGTCTGGGATATGCATGCAGTAGTTTTCGTGACAGACTATTACTACCAAGAAAGTGTCTAACAGCTTCCTGTATAGCACTTTGTGACATCTGCTGATGTAAAAAGGGCTTTATAAATACATTTGATTGATTGATTGATTTTGTTTGCCAGTCTTCACATCGCCACCCAAGAAGGGTGAGGACCCCTTCAACACAAAGTGCTTGCCTGAGAACCTGAGCTGGGTAGCCCGTATGAAGGACGGTGTCATTTATACATACAAAGACGCGGCAGCGGCCGACCAACACAAACCCATTGAGAACATGCCTGCCCCTGACTACATCACCTTCATCGACGACATGAACTTCCTCATCGCTCTGATTGCACAGGGCCCAACGTGAGTCTTACTGCACGACTAGCTACAGAATTGTTAACGGAATATGTGATGCTCCATACCCATTACAGCTTGGCTAATGGAAAGCCTCGAAAGGAATTTTTCAACTAACCTGCTCTTGGCGATACTTTCTTCGTTCTTGATTCAGTAAAAAGTGTATGTTATAAATGTCCGTGTCCAGTTGCAGGTGGTTCTCCAAAAAACAGAGACTATTCAGAAATATATTAAATCCACGTTTTGGATCGAGTGTGAAATGCCTCTTGGATGTGTGTAGATCTTTGTTTTGGTCACACTGTTTGACGCACTCATCTACTTCTACACGTGGCTGCAGCCGCATCACATTGAAATGACTAGTTCCTGCAAAGATGTTGGGAAATGCAAGATCTCTGGCAGCTAAAATGGCGAGGGAAATCCCCGCTCGGTGGAAACCGTGGATTTAATATCTTTCTGAATATTCTCTGGTTTTAGAGAACCAATTAGACACTGACATGTATAAGATACAGTTTTTACCGAATCAAGAACAAAGAAAGTATTGCCAAGAACAGGTTAGTTGAAAAATTCCTTGCAAGGCTTTCCATTAGCCAAGCTGTAATGTGTATGGAGCATCACATATCCCGTTAACAATTCTGTAGCTACTGCACGACGGGAGATCAACTCCAACACAGCAGAGTCACAGCACTATGTATTTACAGGATGTACTGGCTTTTGATCCAACCCTGCTCTAACACACCTGATTCAACTAATTCTGATCTAAATTTAACACCATGATTATTTGAATCAAGTGAGTGAGGCTGCGTTTACACAGGCAGACCAATTTTGATTTTTATTTTCCACTAATTGGTCTTTTGACTAATCAGATCAGCTCTTTTGCCAATAATTGGGCAAAAGATCAGAATTGGGCTGCCGGTGTAAACACAGCCTTAGTGCTGGTCTGGAACAAATAATCAAACATATGGACTACATATCACACCACGAAATGTCTAACAACTTTACAAGTTCCACATTACATGTTTGCTTGTCCTTTTTGTCTCTCCTGGGTGGCAGTAAGACGTACACTCACCGTCGTCTGAAGTTCCTCATGTCCAAGTTCAATGTGCATGAGATGCTGAACGAGATGGAGGAGCTGAAGGAGCTGAAGCTGAACCCCCACAGGGACTTCTACAACTGCAGGAAGGTAGATAGCTACCGCCTTACAAAACATATTAGCATTAGCCTAGCTTATTAGCCTGTTATTAGCCTCTTAAGACCTCTTAAAGTGTTGGCTTGACAGTCACTGGACCCGGGTTCGAGTCCCGGTCAGGGTTACCCAACTAATTTTCTACAGTAGACTTCCATGGTTGATTTAATTGACTCTCCCCTTTAACTGCCCCTAATTGATACAACTTCTGAGTCTGTTAGATAGGATCAGCTTGAGCAAAGTGAGTTGTATAATCACTGATCTACAAATAGGATTTAAGATTCATAGAGGTTCGCCTCCCATGGCTCAGGCAATCCCCCTGCCAAACACACACGCACAACCAGACATTGATTGATTGATTGATTGGAGACAGCTTGTGTCAATTACAGAGTATTTCATAGGATTTTCTACCTACAGCAACTAGTGGATAATGCTGGAAATACCGGTAAAAGCACAGTGCCTCCATTTACGCACAAAAGCAGGGCCCTAGACAATCAATCACAGAGCACATTTAACATGATAGCAACACTCAAAATAACTGCCTGTAATGGGCAATCCTCACCCTGTAAACTAGTTTCATTTAATTGATAAAAATTACAGCTATGACAAAATGACAAAATAAAGTCTCTCCTTTCAACAAATACCTTATATTTGTGAATACAAAAGACGTCTATGGGCTTTAGATAAAATAGTACTTTATTACTAGAGTCAAGAAAATATTTACTAAATAAACTAAAGTAAAAAAACGTAACACAATAAAATAACAATAACGAGGCTATATACAGGGGGTACCGGTACTGAGTCAATGTGCGGGGGTACAGGTTAGTCAAGCGTTAAAAAAAGGTGGGGGGGGGGGGGGGGTAAATGCAAATAGTCGGGGTAGCCATTTGATTAGCTGTTCAGCAGTCTTATGGCTTGGGGGTAGAAGTTATTAAGTAGCCTTTTGGACCTAGACCTTATGCTCTGCTACCGCTTGCCGTGCGGTAGCAGAGAGAATAGTCTATGACTAAGATGCCTGGAGTCTTTGACAATTTGTAGGGCCTTCCTCTGACACCGCCTGGTATGGAGGTTCTGGATGGCAGGAAGCTTGGCCCCAGTGATGTACTGGGCCGTACGCACTACCCTCTGTAGTGCCTTGTGGTCGGAGGCCGAGCAGTTGCCATACCAGGCAGTGACGCAACCAGTCAGGATGCTCTCGATGGTGCAGCTGTATAACCTTTTGAGGATCTGAAGACCCATGCCAAATCTTTTCAGTCTCCTGAGGGGGAATAGGCGTTGTCGTGCCCTCTTCATGACTGTCCTGGTGTGTTTGGACCATGATAGTTTGTTGGTGATGTGGACACCAAGGAACTTGAAGCTCTCGACCTGCTCCACTACAGCCCCGTCGATGTGGATGGGGGTGTGTTCGGCCCTTCTTTTCCTGTAGTCCACGATCATCTCCTTTGTCTTGATCACGTTGAGGGAGAGGTTGTTGTCCTGGCACCACATTGCCAGGTCTCTGACCTCCTCCCTATAGGCTGTCTCATCGTTGTCGGTGATCAGGCCTACCACTGTTGTGTCATCGGCAAACTTAATGATGGTGTTGGAGTCGTGCTTGGCCACTCAATAGTGGGTGAAAAGGGAGTACAGGAGGGGATTAAGCACGAACCCCTGAGGGGCCCCCATGTTGAGGATCAACGTGGCAGGTTTTTTTTGTTGCCTACCCTTACCACCTGTGGGTGGCCCGTCAGGAAGTCCAGGATCCAGTTGCAGAGGGAGGTGTTTTATCCCTAGCTTAGTAATGAGCTTTGAAGGCACTATGGTGTTGAACGCTGAGCTGTAGTCAATGAACAGCATTCTCACATAGGTGTTTCTTTTGTCCAGGTGGGAAAGGGCAGTGTGGAGTGCAATAGAGATTGTGTAATCTGTGGATCTGTTGGGGTGGTATGCGCATTGGAGTGGGTCTAGGGTTTCTGGGATGATGGTGTTGATGTGAGCCATGACTAGCCTTTCATAGTACTTCATGTCTACAGACGTGAGTGCTACGGGTCGGTAGTCATTTAGGCAGGTTACCTTGGCGTTCTTGGGCACAGGGGCTATGGTGGTCTGCTTGAAACATGTAGGTATTACAGACTCAGTCAGGGACATGTTGAAAATGTCAGTGAAGACACTTGCCAGTTGGTCAGCGCATGCTCGGAGTACACGTCCTGGTAAACCGTCTGGCCCTGCGGCCTTGTGAATGTTGACCTGTTTAAAGTTCTTACTCACATCGGCTACGGAGAGTGTGATCACACAGTTGTCCGGAACAGCAGGTGCTCTCATGCATGTTTCAGTGTTGCTTGCCTAGCGTGCATAGAAGTAATTTAGCTCATCTGGTAGGCTCGGTTCACTGGGCAGCTTGCGGTTGGGCTTCCCTTTGTAGTCCTTAATAGTTTGCAAGCCTTACCACATCCGACGAGCATCAGAGCCGGTGTAGTAGGATTCAATCTCAGTCCTGTATTGACGCTTTGCCTGTTTGATGGTTCGTCAGAGGTTATAGCAGGATTTCTTATAAGCGTCCGGGTTAGAGTCCCGCTCCTTGAAAGCGGCTGCTCAACCTTTTAGCTCAGTGCGGATTTTGCCTATAATCCATGCCTTCTGGTTGGGGTATGTACTGTGGTCACTGTGGTGATGACGTCATCGATGCACTTATTGATGAAGCTGGTGACTGATGTGGTATACTCCTCAATGCCATCGGATGTATCCCAGAACATATTCTAGTCTGTGCTAGCAAAACAGTCCTGTAGCTTAACATCTGCGTCATCTGACCACTTCCGTATTGAGCGAGTCACTGGTACTTCCTGCTTTAGTTTTTGCTTGTAAGCAGGAATCAGGAGGATAGAATTATGGTCAGATTTTCCAAATGGAGGGCGAGGGAGAGCTTTGTATGCGTCTCTGTGTGTGGAGTAAAGGGGCTCTAGAGTTTGTTCTCCCTCTGGTTGCATATGTTACATGCTGGTAGAAATTAGGTAAAACGGATTTAAGTTTTCCTGCATTAAAGTCCCCGGCCACTAGGAGCACCACCTCTTAATGAGCATTTTCTTGTTTGCTTATGGCTCATACAGCTTTTTGAGTGTGGTTTTAGTGCCAGCATCGATTTGTGGTAGTAAATAGACAGCTACGAAAAAAATAGAAGAAAACTCTCTTGGTAAATAGTGTGGTCTACAGCTTATCATGAGGTACTCTACCTCAGGCGAGCAAAACCTTGAGACTTCTTTAATATTAGATTTCGCGCACCAGCTGTTATTGACAAATAGACACAGACCACCACCCCTCGTCTTACCGGAGGTAGCTGTTCTGCCTTGCCGATGCACGGAAAACCCAGCCAACTGTATATTATCCATGTCGTCGTTCAGCCACAACTCGGTGAAACATAAGATATTCCAGTTTTTAATGTCCTGTAGGTAGGATAGTCTCGAACGGAGCTCATCCAGTTTATTCTCCAATGATTGCACGTTGGCCATTAGGACGGATGGTAGAGGTGGGTTACCCACTCACCGACGAATTCTCACAAGGTACCCGGATCTGCGTCTCCTGTATCGGCGTCTCCTATTCATGCGAATGACGGGGATTTGGGCCTGGTCTGGTAGCAGCAGTAAATATTTCGCGTCCGACTCATTAAAGAAAAAATCTTCATCCAGTTCGAGGTGAGTAATCGCTGTTCTGATATCCAGAAGCTATTTTCGGTCATAAGAGACGGTGGCAGAAACATTATGTACAAAATAAGTTACAAACGTGAAAAAAACACACAAAATAGCACAATTGGTTAGGAGCCCTTAAAACGGCAGCCATCCCCTCCAGCGCCGTTCTGTATTCATAGGATGCCAATTTCCGACAAGTCAGTTCATCAAATTTCTGCCCTGCTAGAGCTGCCCCGGTCAACTGTAAGTCCTGTAATTGTGAAGTGGTATGCTACACAAGCTCACAGAATGGGACCGATGAGTGTTGAAGCGCGTAGCGCGCAAAAATCGTCTGTCCTCGGTTGCAACACTCACTACCGAGTACCAAACTGACTCTGGGAGCAATGTCAGCACAATAACTGTTTGTCGGGAGCTTCATGAAATGGGTTTCCATGGCCGAGCAGACACACACAAGCCTAAGATCCCCATGCGCAATGCCAAGCGTTGGCTGAATTGGTGTAAAGCTCGCCGCCATTGGACTCTGGAGCAGTGGAAACGCGTTCTCGGGAGTAATGAATCACGCTACACCATCTGGCAGTCTGACGGACGAATCTGGGTTTGGCGGATGCCAGGAGAACGCTACCTGCCCCAATGCATAGTGCCAACTGTAAAGTTTGGTGGATGAGGAATAATGGTCTGGGGATGTTTTTGTTTTTCATGTTTCATTGTATAAAAAAATAATAATTAGACTATGATGGAATTGTATGTTTTTGAACAAATTATTGTTAACAATGTTGCTATTGCGATTTGACTTTTGATTTAGAGCAAAACACTTGGGTGAACTGTTGGAATCAAATTCTATAGCTAGAATGTAATAGTGGGCACTTTGAATACAGTTTGACATTGAGGGAGGAGTTATTGGGATAGGGTAGGAACCAAAGTGTTGACAAGTGTTTCCTAGAGGACCCTATAATCTTTCGCTATATTGAATGTTTTCTCTTAGCTACTTCATGTAGCTGACATATTATTCCTTCATGTATTTCTCTTTGTTTTAGAAGATACTGTTCTACAAATAACATGCAGATGTAGGTCTACAACAGGGTTGACCAACCCTGTTCCTGGAGAGCTACCCTCCTGTAGGTTTTCGCTCCAACCCCAGGTATTACTAACCTGATTCATTTTATCAACCTACTAATTATTAGAATCAGGTGTGCTAGATTAGGGTTGGAGCAAAAACCTACAGGACAGTAGCTCTCCAGGAACAGGGTTAGTCCTGGTCTACACCATCACTGATATTATCAGGCTGTATAGCTAGTTACGTTTGCTCTGACTCAGTATAACAAATTCTCTCCTTGACTG